CAGCCCGGACCCACCAAACAACAATGACGGCTGCAACCAAAAAATAGCCAGGCGTTGTGGCGGGCGCCTGTGGTCCCAGCTACTTGGGAGGCGGAGGCAGGAGACTCGCTTGAGCCCAGGAGTTGGAGGTTGCTGTGAGCTGTAATGCCACGGCACTCTGCCCAGGGTGACAGCTTGAGGCTCTGTCTCAAAAAAGAGACAGAATCACGTTCTGTTGCCTGAGCTAGAGTGCAGTGGTGGCATCATAGTTCACTGCAACCTCATACACGCTGGGCTCACGATTCTCCTGCCTCGGCCTCCCGTGTAGTGAGACTACAGGCACGCTACAACACTGGGCTAATTTTTCTATTTCTAGTAGAGACAGGGTCTGACTCTTGTCCCAGGCTGGTCTTGGAACTCCTAAGCTCAACTGATCCTCCCACCTGGACCTCCCAGAGTGCTGGGATTACAGGTGTGAGTCACTGCGCCCGGCCCCTTCTAGAATCTTTAACATTGTGTTTCCCAGCTGTTTCTATACTTTATGAACCAGCAGTACAAGAGCATGACAGCCTGAAATTCTTAGCCACTTTGGTGAAGGGAAAATGCCCACAGCCCAGGAAATGTGTTCTCGCCCTCTAGAAAGGCCAGAGGCTGAAATTGTATCCAGACAGGTGATCGAAGCAACTAGGGAGGGAGGGGTGAAAACTGTCTCTGTTCCAGGGCTGTTTCTCCCCGAGGAGGTTTATCCTTGTGTGTGTAGTCTGCTGGGATAGTTGTCCAGAAATAGCCCAGTATATGGAAGAGTTTTCCAAAGATGAGAAGAGCTATATCCAGACAGCAGGGAGCTCCCAGGCCTATAGGTGTGAGCAGGCACAAAGGAAAGGCCCCTGGTGCGCCTTTTCCAGAGGGGCGGGGAGCGCGGGTGTTCTGTCCTGCTCTTTCACCTTCCTACCTGGTCTCTGTCTTCTTCCTCCGTTATTTTTCTGACATTGCTTTTTCCCAGCCCGAGTTCTAGCATCTTCTTTGTGAAGCTTTTCATGATTTTCTCTGCCACTTTTTAAAACAAAATAAGAGTTTAGATGAATCAGCTCTGCCTCATCCCCTGGCCCCTTCCACCCAGACTCTATCCTCCCATCCCTGCCCTGTGGTCCCCCAGTCCACACTCAATTTCATCCTTTATTACCTGGCGCTGTTTTGCCTTTTACATGCCTCCCTGTCTCAAGCTCCTTGAGAGCAGGGGCTGACTGGTGGGTGGTTCCTGAGTGAACTGGAGGGAGGGGCCATTGACTGTCCCTTTGGAAAGCAGAAGTAGCCCAGTGCAGACCCACCTGGTTGGGGTTGGAACTTCGGAACTGTGATCTCAGAAGTCTCTTTCCTGGTCATTGCCTGTGGCTGCATTATGGAAGTTGAAACTCTCTCCAGAATGTCATAACTTTCTCTTTTTCCTTTAAAGCAAGCAACCCAGTGATAGCGGCTCAGCTCTGGTAAGTCTCCCCCATCTCCCAGGCTCTGGGATACAGTTCTCCTCTCTGATTATGGTATTTATGTTGACTTTTACCTTAATACCGTTAAATCAGAAAGCGAATCACCCAATAATTTTTCTCCCCTTTTCCTGCTGCCTGGCTATACTATCCTCCTGGCTTTCAATAAGCACACAATGAATTGTTTTAAGACAGTTATATATTTTTTAACACAGCCACTTTGTTGGAGTAGGTGTGTGCTTTGTCTGTTGGAGCAGGGATTGGCAGGTGAGAGGCAGGTGCATACCGTGTGTGGACGGCGTGCCAGGCGGTGACGGGGGCGCAGGGCTGTGCTGTGAGCACAAGCTAGACAGGGCTGATGCTGGATTTGCTTTGTGGCCTGTGGGGTTTATAGTCTTACATTGCAGAAGACATTAAACACCTAGACTGAAATCCCTGCAGGGAAAAGAATTTATCACAAGATTGAAAATCTCCAGTGCAGGAGTCAGCACACATTTTCTGCAGAGGGCCAGATAGTGAATATACATATTAGACTTTGTAGCACAGCACCTCTCAGCTCTGCTGTTGTAACTTGAAAGTAGATGATATACAAATGCACAAACATGAGTGGGTACCAGTAAAGCTTTCCTCAGGAGTACGGGTGGGCCAGATTAGAGAAGAGTTTGCTGGCCCCTGCCCGAGCACAGGTGTTCTGGATCTTGCCTGCTACTAGAACAATCTGGTGAGCTGTGCTTATCTGCAGCGTCCCTACAGCCAGATGACTCTCTAGGCTCATTGACTCAATCTCTGGGGCAGAACCCCAGTATCTGTTTCTTAAAATTCCCCAGTTGGTCCACCTGGTGTACACCTGCCTCTCTCTTATAAGGTGGACAAGCTGTCCTGTGAGAGAACCACAAGATGAAGTTGTTTCAGCCCTTGGTTCTGAACTCCAGCCTCTCTGTCATCTCAGCCACAGGTCTCGAGGCTGTTAGGGAGAGCGGCCTTCTGAAAGAAGGGCACAGCTCTCCTGCCCTCATGCACCCTGAGGACAGTGAGCAGAACTCAGCACACAGAGCCCTGGTTAGATGAGCACCCCAGAGATGTCCTCCCTTGCCCCAGCTTTGGGGCCTTATGTCTTCTCCTTTCTGGGCCTTCTTTTTCTTTTTTGCAAACAAGGAGATTTGGCCAGACTGGTGTTTTTTCAAACTTTTTTACCCTCTGACTTTCACCCTCCAGAGGAAGCCTGATGTAAAAGCCCAAACTACAGAAAAGATAAAAGCAGAGATACTCTGGATGGACACGAGTTGGGCGGGAAGGCTCAGTGCCTTTCTGCCCATCTACCTCCTCTTCCAGCCCAGGTACCTCCAAAGCACCTCCAAGAAACCCAGGGTTCTAGAGAGCACAGCCAGCCTGCAGCTCTGATTGCAGAGGGGCTTGCAGTGCTGGTTTGCCCCTATTCCTGGGTTTCATCTCCAGCACTGAATGAAGCAGCTGGCGGGTCCTGGTGACTGCCATGCATTGCCCAGGCCTGCAGGTTGGGAGGAGGCTGCTGTTTTCTTGTGTAGGTTGGCTGCAGGCCTGAAGTCTGCTCCGTTGGTAGGCTCCTCCTTGAGGCTCATCTGCTAAAAGGCATTAGCATCTTTCTTAGCCTGTCAGGGTGTCCTTTTGCTTTTATTCTCAGGGGCTTATAGGTTATAGCATTTCTTTCATTTGCTCTCTCGGGAGGTGATTGTTTTGTTTGTTTTTCCCTAATAAAATTACATTTTCTTTTTAGCATCTAGTGGAGATTATATATTCGGAACCAAAACAAACAAACAAACAAAAAAGTCTATACACACACATACAGAGCGCTGGTAAATATACCCTTTAGGAACAAATGAGCTAATAACCGCTGTTCGCAGCTGTTCAATTGCTCTTCACACCCTGTGGGATCCTGGGGCGAGTAGGATTGCTAAGAGAGCCAGGGATGAAATCGTGCCCTGGGCTGCAGTGATGCCACCAGAAAAACAGCACCTCACGGAATGCTTAGCCTATACCTGGTGAAATTCAGCAGGAGGAGATCTGGCCCCAAGCCTGTCTCTGTTCTGATCCTCGCTGCAAACTGCCACAGAGCTGTTGAGCCCCCCGAATAAGACTGATAATGAAGTGAGCTATAACCCTTGATTTTAAGTACCCCCCTCTAGCAACAAGGATCACCCAGTGGTTGTGCCACATTTGTGGTTTTTTCTTGCAGATATTGAATTAACATTTTGAATATATTGTGTTTTATCCCAACCCGCCCCATCCATTTTTTTTTTATATTTAACCAGAGTAGTTATAGTTAAGATTCCATCAAAATAGGATCACTCATGAGAAGGCCTGGCCTTTTCTTGGGCCCCTGAGAGCCAAGCTGGTTTAGCAGAAGGCAGGCGGCTTTGGGATTGCGCACAGGTGGATTCCAGGCTGCCACTGACCGGCTGCGTGACCCTGAGCAACTTTCCTAATTCTCTGTTAGGCAAGTGTTCTCTTATCTATAAAATGAGGTGGTAACATTTGTTGACCTCATGGCCTTGTGGTGTGGATTAAATAATAACAGATGTGAAGTTTCCCTTCCAGGCCTTGTCTGGCGCAAACATTCCAAAGTGGTGGCCAGGTCATAGGCAGTATTTTAATAGTAAGGGATCCAGTGCCCAGTGGTAGGGGCTCAGAAGCAGCTGGTGACATTCCCTCCAGCTGGAAAGGTCTCTGAGCATCGTGAGAGCTTCCTGGTGGCCTGGGGCTGCCCGGCAATGCCAAGGAAGGCCTGATATGGGAACTAAAGTGATGTGACTTCCCCAACTGAAAGGACCTCCTTTCTGCCACCACAATATGACATCAAGGCTGTATTCTGGCCTATTACCTGCTTGTTTCTATTTGTGAGCCCCAAAGTGACGAATGAAACTTGCTATGTGGTTTCCCTGGTTATGTTTGTTTAAGCAGCCAGTAACCAAAAAGAAATAGTATGTGAAAGTTCTTCATGGTGCAGGCAGCCCATAGGAGTAGTTCACGATTATTAAATAAATGAGTAATAATGCTGCTTTACAACCTATTACATTTTTCTTTTTCTTTCTTTTTCATTTAGCTCTAAACCAAATCCTGAAGTCCATAATTACCAGGTAAGGCACTGCTTTCTTTTAAAGGTTGTCTTAAAGTTTCTAAATTTTCCATAATGAGTAGACATTATAATCAGATTTTGAGGAAATACTATGTGTTTTT